GGTGCCCCGGAGCCCTGGGCCGCCGGCTCCCCGCCAAGGCCATCACCTCCCAGGAGCGGGGGTCGCGCCTCCTCGCTCCGGGAGAGGCGTTCGTCGTCCGTGAGGCAGAGGTGCAGAACTCTGTGGATTGTAATTTCAAGGATTGGAATGGCCTGAGGAAACCTCTTTCATTAGCGTTCCTGGGTACGGCTTTATTGTTCCGTAATGAAATAAACTAATTAGTATTCTCTGCCATGATGATTTCAGAGGTGAGCGTCGTTCGTGATTTGGGGGTTAATGTATTTCCATCTGAGCCCCCTATGAATGGGGAATAACAAGACGACAAGGGGAATAAAGACTCCTTACAGCTGGATGAGAGGGATTTTTTTTTCTGTGTAAAAAATAGAAGACTTATGACAAAGTTTTAGGTCTACTGTTTGTCTGTAACAAAATAATCGGTATTTCTGCAGATGGAGATGTTACAGTAAAATTACGTGTTCTGTGTCATACAGAGTTGAATAATACTAATAATATAATCTTCCCTTGGAATGAAGTCAACAAAAATTACAAATGCTTCTATGTGCTTATTTTTATTGTATTAATTTTGGGGCTATTAAAAACGTGTGGTAAAAATATTAAAGTAGACTAATTAAATCTAAATACGCCAGTTTCTTTAACGTGTTTCTTGTTCTTGAATCCTAGCAAGCAAGCACCTCTTCAGTGCAGGTTTCTCTGTTAGTTACAGTCCTTTCTTATGACCGTAAGTACACTAGACAGAGCTGAAGTGATTTCAAAATGTAGTAATGCGTCTTTTCTATTTTTTTTAATTTTTCAGAACTATCATGACATCATGTCTTGCCACCCAGAAAACTTTCAGTGGGAGCACTGGAGCTTTGAAAATATTGCTACCATACTTGCTCGCCGGTTCCCTAACAGCTTTATTTGGGTTGTGAAGTGTTCTCGAATGCACCTGCATAAATTCAGTTGTTATGACAACTTTGTGGCGAGCAACATGTTTGGAGCACCAGAGCACAGCACTGACTTTGGAGCTTTCAAGCATCTCCATGCGTTGCTAGTTAATGCATTCAGACTCTCTCAGAATATTCTGCTGTCCCAGAAAAGTGTGCACGGTGTCAGCAAGAATGCAAAAATAGCTGCTTGTAAATCACAGCCGCAGTCTGTTCCTGCAACGAACGGCTGCTCGTCCACAGGAGGAGAGAGAGATTGTGAACGCTCTAATAATTCTGCTATGAGCTTCATTATACCCTCTGCTGTAGGTGCAGTGTCATTTACTTTGATTGGCTTCAGTAAAGGTTGTGTGGTTTTGAACCAGCTGCTTTATGAGCTGAAGGAAGCTAAAAAAGACAAGAATACAGATGCCTTCTTAAAAAGCATAAAAGCAATTTACTGGCTGGATGGTGGTCACTCAGGAGGAAGCAATACTTGGGTTACTTACCCTGAAGTGCTGAAAGAACTTGCGCAGACAGGAATTGAAGTTCATGCTCACGTTACACCATACCAAGTGTTTGACACAATGAGGTCGTGGATTGGGAGAGAGCATGAGAAATTTGTACAGATACTTGAAGAATTTGGTGTGGAAATAAATGATCAACTGCATTTTGCTGATGATGTTCCCTCCTTAGATAATCATTTCAGAGTTCATGAAGTGTTTTGAGACTATATGCATCTGAATAGTATACTCATTGTAAAAGCGCTTTTGACACTGTAAATGTCGTCATCTAGGTTTCCAGCTTTGAGTAGATGCTTTCTGAAGAGAATACTAAAGCAGTCCTGTGTTGCTAATAGATACCATATGTAAATTTCAGTAGTTGAAAAAGGTGGATTGGGACCCTATACCTACAACAGATGTTGTCATTTGATTCCTGGAAAGAAAGTGTTATGAAGAACTATCCTACACGTGGTTTTTTTTTTTAAAGTGTGAACATTTATTCTCAAACTGTTGGCAGAATTTTTAGCCTTGGATGTCTAACCTCGTATACTTTCTTTAATGGGAGCTTAAAGTACTCAAGACTTTAAGATGTCTGGATACTGCAATTTAGTAGCTGCCAGGGCAAAAAACTTCGGTCTTCGTCAACAACAGACACAATGTTAGTTTTTTGGCGTAAGGAAAATTATGATTGTTAGAACAATTTTAGTTACATATTTTGGTGAAAATTGTTGTAATTAGTTAATTAAATCTTAGAGTTTTGCAGCATTTCTCCTAACTGAAACAAAGTCACAAATACTTACCTTTGGAATAATAGTGCCAGTCCATTTTTCTTCCTGATGTGTGCCTTGCCTTTTCTGTTGCTATGAGGTTTCATTAATTCATTGTGTAGTATCTGCTAGTGAACAGCCCTTTCACCTGGGGGCTTGAGAATTTTGACATGGCTATGTTAAGTGACCAAGAATGTTGATGAGGCTGTAGTTTATTGCTGTTTCAACATACCTTGCTATTGATTTGGCTATTTTCTGTAAGGACCAGCAGTAATATCTCTATTTCCAGTCAAGAGGTGTCTTTATCCCTGCCTTGGAATGGTGAGGTTTTTCTTGATAATTGCTGCATTGATGTTGATCTAAATTGAGCCGTAAGTACATAATGTATTACAAGTTGCATAAAAATTTTTGGAGTATACTGACTGTAGCTGTTTCAGAATGCTTCAGGTTTTATAACTATTATCTCCTTTAAATTGCAGTAGTTGCTTCTAGAGCCGTCCACAAATCTATTTGTAGAGCCTAATTTTTCTTACGGTAAAAAAAACACCTCTCTAATTAAATACAAAGCTGGACAAATTAGATACAAAAGATGTAATCTAGTTCAGGCCCAAACGTGAATGTTCTTCAGAAAGAATTACTGAAATAAGTGAGAGTATTAGTGAAACTTTTCTGCTGTTGTAAGTAACTTTCCATTTTTCTACAAATAAATCTGAGTCACTCTTTTAGAAACAACTGCAGTTATTAACAGTGAACCAGTAGCTTAAAATGGTTTTGGATTTCCTGGAAGTATAGGAATACAAAAGGAAGTTGGCAAAACAGTGTGAAGATTACACAAACAAATGTGGCTCCGTTCTGAAAAAAGGCCTTTTATTCAACTTTTTTCATATCTTTGATAGCAACATCTTCCCCCTGCTTCTTCCTTCTGGTGACTCTTACACCATGGAAGGAAAGTCCTGGGTCATCTTCCTGCTGTTGGCATCATTAAAACTTATAAGGTTCGCTGGAGGCAGTTTTTTCACAACTCTTGCAGAGGTTGTGCACATTAGTGATCACTGAAGAATGAGAAAAGTGTGGTGAACTCCTAAGAGAAATTTTCTTAATACTCAGAATATTAAGCGTAGTAGGATTGTGCATACAGTGTGCACCTTACAATGTGGCTTTAATAGAAAGCCTACAAATTGCTTGAAATTTCTTTGATTATCCACTTATAAAATAAAATTTAAAAAAACAATACCAAAACACCCCACTGATCTTGCTCCCTCTCCTTTCAGAGTTGGACTGACCAGGCTAAGTTGGGTGTGCTAAAACTTACCCTATCCAATAACAGTGCAGATCACAGACCAATTTCTAAAACAATTCTGTGCCAGCCAAAACAGCAGGAGTAGGTTGTTGCAAGCTTTGGGAAACAGCTGTTAAAATATTGGCATTGTCTTCAGAAGTTTCTGGATGGCTGTCCTATGAAAATAATATTAACCTGCTTGATGGAGGCTGCTTACAATAACTGTTAGATGAAATAAGCTCAAGTGTTGCTGTATTAATTTGAAGAATAAGCACTTTGTTGTAAAACTAATCTTGTTTTGAGACTTCATGTTGTGGAGGGAAAACTGACCTGTTTTTCATTCTCTAAACAGTTGTAGTACTCTGTTGGAATGTGCCTCTGTCATTCACTACAATGCATGCTAAAAATAAATTTTGCAAACAGTGTAGAAAATAAACTATTTCCAATGGGCGAAACCACTTTGGTGTGAATGTAAAACCACTGAACAAGGAATATGCAGTTAAGTTTTGTGGATTAAGCTTTATCAGGTGTTTGTGGAGACCTAGCTTGAAAAAGTCAGATTTATTTGATAACTTTTCTTCAAGGCAGGCTTTTTATGTGTGTAGTCCGTATCTGTAATTCTGAAAAGCTTATTGGGTCCTTTGTGCCAGCCTTCCCATGTATGCGAGATGCCAAAGATGTGAACATTTCGATGTTAGTATGAAATGGGTCATAGTTTGTGTATGCCTGTTTTTTGATGTTAACTGTAAAGGCAGTTTTTAATAAGCTTATATGTAAATGCCTAGAGTTAAGTGATTCTCTTGCTTACCTACAGTGGTTTAGTTCAAGATATTTCTGGTTTTGAATGGAGCGAGCAACATTACACAGTCCTTAGTAATAGCTGCTATTCTTTATATTACATGCTTGTTTCTTACACAATAGACAAGGCATTCTTCAGATTTTGAGAAATGCTAAAATGTTTTAAGCTGTGCCTGTTAAATTCCTTTAAAACAGGGCTTGGTTCTGTGAAATTGTCCAGATTCTGTTTGACTTAAATGATTTTATTTTGAGTGCAATTTAAATACTAGAAACTTTGGTAAACTGCTTCCTGTCTAGGACTAATTTAATCGCATCTCTGTAAATGCCACTGCATAAATTGGTATTGGCCCCTAATTTTGAAAGGTGATTAAGTGTCCAAGTCTTAACATTGCTGAAAGGAGCAATCTTTCCTGTCCCCCCACTGATAACATCCTGCTGCCTCCCTTATGGTAGCATGTGCACATTATGGTGAGCTGTTCTGTCTTACTGAAATAGTACTATGGCTGATAGAGATAAGTAACAGGAGCGCTATGTATTTAAATAGTCATAGAAATTATTTTAAATAAGACTGCAGAGTCAGTTCAGGAGTTAGGATGTTACAGCTGTGGATATTCACAGGTAAAAGCAGTTGTGCATGATCATGTGCTCAGGTTTTCCTACCAGGTTCTTTTTGAGCTATTTGCAGAAAGAACATCGTCTGTTTTTTTCCTCCCTTTTACGGTGCTTTTTACATTGCTGTCTTTCCTGAGCTAACAGTTATTTTACCATCTCTTCAGATAAACAGTGTTTGTTGTCTGAAAGTTGAAGCACTGAGGTTAAAGTATACCCATCCATTTACCTTGAATGCTTATTTTAAATTACACGGGGTCTTATTAGTTAATATAAGAGAGAAGTTCAAGAACAGTAAAAATTTTGGCATGCGTGTGCTCTGTTGTGAGCCACGTTTTTAGGTATGTCACTGCCTAGCAGAATCCACAAACGTGAATTGTGTGTCTGGTGTCCCTGTGCAATAGAAAAGCAAAGGTGGATGTCTCGGACTGCAATCCACAAGAGACAGCCTCTTCAAATCACCTTTGCAGTTACTTCTTCACAATCTTTTTAATCTTATATTGAAATCTCATTTCTTTTTTTTTTTTTATAAGGATGGTGGATTAAGGGGAAAAAAAAAGTTTACTTCTGATGCTCTTAACCTGATGAAAATTTAGACACATTTAAATATTGCTGATGGAGACCCTAAGACCAAGGCTGGCTTTCTGTTGGTCTTACTGGTCTCTTAACTCTGTTCAGATGCAAGGTGACTTTTTAACTCAAATAAAATAACATGAAGTCATGAAGCAAGTAGTCCAAGATCACAGAATGCCTAAGTGGCAGAGACCGGCACTGCTGCTCCCGGAGCCAGACATACTGTTCCTGACTAAATTCATTCCATCAGTATTAACAGCATAATTCACTCCTCCTGCTGACAAAAAACACTTGCACAGGATTAGCTGTCCCACATCACCGTGGAAACCATGGCAAATGGATTCAGGCAGTCATTTTGCATGTAGCGTAGCATGGGTTATAAAGTAGTGATGGTTTTGTAGTTGTTTTCTGTCAAAAGGGTTAAAGTTGGCACTTCAGAGCCAAGTTGTTTCTAAAGAAAGCCTGCAGCAAGACACAGATAACAGTCGGGAGACAGACCAGTGTGGAAGTGCACCAGTGTTTACCCTCTGGGCAATACTCCTGAGCCCGGGTGCCAGACAGAGCCATTGCATCCCTTGCAGGCTATCTGCATAGCTCTTCTCTCTCATTCCCCGTCACTGGTTTTGTGTGATGGAGGTTTTGAGCAATTCGTGTATTGCTTGACAGCTGAAGTATAAATATTTTCACAGCAAAAATTGCCTGTTACTGTGATCGGTGCTATTATTGCAAGCAATAGCTTCTGAGCACTTTTGTACGAACATAGCATTGCACGTGGAGCTGTGTGTTTTACATGGTTGAGCAATTCTTTTAATGTTTTCAGTCTGCTCTTAAAAATGTTGATGAGGACCAGATCTGAGCAATTGGAAAGAAAGGAAGTAATCTGCTCTTATCGCTCTCCGGATACACTTAAAAGAGAGCATTGCTCTTGGGAATTACCAAGTACAGAGCTCAGATCTATCACCTCTCATAGAGTCTGACCCAAACCAAAATACAAAATGTTAACATTCAACTTTATCTCAAACTTAGACAACTGTCCAGAAAAAAATTAAGATTTCATCTGTGCTTCTAGTAGCACCGGAATCTTTGGTTATTCAGTGATACTAACTTAGAGAGAATCCCTTGTAAAAGTTACTGTCTCAGAACTACTTGTTTTCAACACCTGTGTCGTCTGCATGGAAACCTCTAAAGGTCTCAGGTTTGGGAAGATAGATTTTAGCCAGAAGAAAAAAGAATCAAGTCTGTACAGGAATGTTTTTGAAGCTGTGCAGTTAATGCGTATTGGGATCACACTGTATGTAATACAACCTCTACTACAATAAAATCATCCCATCTTAGTTAAGTTATGAATGAGGCAAATAGTTTCATTCTGCATACTTAAAAAGGATTGCAAATATATTTCTCATCCTTCATGATCAAGTCAAACCCTTTCACATTAGGCATTGAGCTTGACACTTGTATTAAGGACCTAGACACTGTGTAGCTCCTGGAGAGAAACACATTCTTAAGTTAGGTACATCAAATCTTCAGCATTTACTTACATGATAGCCAGATTTTTAGTGACCTGTTTTAATAGTTTGACAAGATAATATTTTTAGAATAATTTTTTAATTTGATTCTTTTCACAGCAACCACATTAAGAAAAATGTATAAACCATTTATCTTCTGAAATCATTGGTTGTCCTTTATATTTCATATGACCAATTAATTCTTTCCATGTGTTGATTTGCAATGCACTTACGTTTTAAAAGCCTCAATCGCCAAATTTTTAGATTAAGTCAAAGTTTGGGCTGGGCCAAGTTTAAACTCCTGATTTCAGATGCTGTCCATATTTATCTTAACTCGTCTTTCAGTCCTGGACAGTCTGCACCACCAAACTCCTCTGTCGAATACACTGTTTGAAGTGGCTGTTCTGAATGCTTAAGATGGTCAGTGTTTATTTTTATAATGTCTATTACCACAACTTCATCTGTTTTATTGTGGCATGATCCCATTTTGCTTTAGGTCTCTAAAGGACAAACTTCCACAAAATGTCAGTAGCTCTAATTCTTTGTGTTATTTCAGTAGTGGATTTTTAAGTGTGGCTACATGGATTTTCTCACTATGTTAGCTAGGAGTTACTCCTTTAATGCTTTCATCATTCATTCATCACTTTATTGCCTGTTTTGTACCACGTAGCACAATGCTTAGAAAGCACCAAGTAATTTTTTATTTTGTATTTTTTAAATAGTAACTTCAAGATTTTTATAACTAGTCACATTGTGCTTAAATTAAGAAAATACGTTTTTAAACTGCTTGGTTTCTTCTTTTATAGTATTTCAGAACAATTGTTTTATAGAAGTTATCAAATAAGAAATTGAAGAAACTGGTTCAAAGTGAGAAAAAGGGTGGCACTGACAGAACAATTACTGTGCTGGTTTTCCAGCTGACCTATGTAGAATAGTTTTTGTTAATCTTTCTTGAATACGCACTTACATCACATCTGGTGGGGTTTACTGGCAGTCTTAGAGAACTGAAAATTAAAGGGGTCATGGGGAGGGAAAAACCCCCAACCTACTGTCATTGCAGAGATTTCTGACAGAACGCTGCAAGAGAAGCATGAGCAGGGCTGGGTTACCCACCAGCTGACCAGGGTGAGAGAACCTCATTTGCTGACCTATAAAAATAAAATAAAGGCTTCATTTTAAAGTTTGTAGTGTGAAGAGGCACTAGCTGCACTTGCTATAGCACTTGGCTCACATTTAGTTCAGCATGACCCTCTCTTCCCAGCCAGAAACGCACTTTGCAATCCAAATTTGATGCTAGCCTAAACAAGTGAATTATTGCAGCTTTCCTGCTGGGCTTCCTCAGCACTAGTAACTGCAACTGAGAGTTGCGTTTGGCCTAAGGTGTTTAGATTAACAGTTTAACAGCCTCCCTTAATAAATAAAAAAGGGGACTGAAAAAATATTCAGAATGGCATTCTGAATGCTTGTGGCTTGACAGATGTTATGTATGCTTTTTACACACATACTATGAAACACGTGTTATTACAAATCTTGGTATCACCATCAAGTGGCACAGCAGTGAATGCATTTCTCCTGCAGGATTCTCCTCCTCTTACCTTCTCTCCCCAAGAGCCCCGGATGGCTCCCGCCCTCCCTTGGGAGCACAGCAGGCACTCCTTGCAAGCGGAGACACAAGCAGGTCACTCATACACTTGACTGCTGCTCCAGGAAGCTTTCCTTGTTTATGTTTGAGCGTTGAGGAGGCCTGGGAACACCAAGCCAGCACTTCTCTTTTGGGAACAGCTAGCACCTCTCTGTACTAGCACACTGAGGAACCGCTGGGGGTTAGGGTTAACAGTGATAGCTGTGCAGGCACCGTGCTGGAGCACAGCTTTGTCGAGCCCCGCAGGCTCTCTCAGCCTCTCCATTTAGATCTAACACACAAAGAATCTCTGTACACCTCTGCAGAACAATTCAGATGGGGCCCTCGACATTACCAGCCCAACAAAGTCAAGAGGCTTCCCCAGCCCAACAGACACACACATTCTGTCTGAGCAGCGTACACAAACGATCCTTGTTCATTTTCAAAAAAAAAATATTGGGAGACCTATTTGTGATCCCAAATTTAAATTCTAACCTCAGAAGGTACAACGATGCCCATCAGAATCGCTTGGCTGGTTCCATTCATGCCTATTCATTAAGATGGCCGCGTGCCCACTCACATGGTAGCAGACTATTTTCACTGTGTTGAACTGCCAAGAAGAACAGGTTTAGAAGAATAATCTGCACAGTGTTGCAAGCCCCTGCTCCTCTGGAGAAAGATTTTTCCAGCACTTTATTAACACTATGTATCTATTTAGTCTAAGAGCTTTTGACAAGTTACAGTTCTCAAAGAACACTGCTGGAAGTAACAGACTGACCTAAATGTCAGATAATGCTGCATTCCCCAAGGAGCACAAGTATCAAGGTCAGAGGGATTTCAAAGGGACAGGGACAATCTCTCTTTTCTGTGAGAGGCCCGTCTTTATTTCAAAGGGCTTTTGTAAGCACTGCTTTCTGCTGAACAGTAACCATCTACAACACCTCTGCAACAGGCTCCATGCCCCAAGGTGCAACGCAACGCCCTTTCCCGTGGTAACGTGATGCATCTCAAACACCGCTCCCAACAGATTCTACACCTATTCCACAACTGTGGACTTCATTTCAGATTCTAGGACTGTGGCTGGATGGATTTGAGGCACATTAGCTGCAAGGGTTTCACTGCAGTGACAACCAAAGTTTCCTGCACAATACCTAATTCCGCTAGGAAAGGGGTAAATTATTTACCTTGCCTCAAGGTACTGCACAACTCCAAGATTAACCTTGCGTGATTAGCTTTTGCTTTTTTCCCATGCCCACTCTCAGTTTCACCACAAGAGGGAGCAGAAACTCCCCACACTTATTACCAGGCTATTAGTCAAAAGAAACCATGACCGTTAGATCTACCACCAATGGCTTTCTTGGGCCTCCTCAGAAACCACTATGGTTTTCCTAAACTTTAGTAAACGAGGTGACATCAGGAATATGTGCAGTTACTTCTAAGCATACATGCTGTCCGCCCAAACTTTCGTTCAGAAAAATTTAAGTAGAACAGTCCCAAAAAAGTAGAGTTGTAAGTGCAGGTGCTGCAGATGTAAGCCTTGTAGACGGGAAACCATCTCCAGATCAAGCAGACTGTGCACTCACTGCACATGAAGAAAAAACAAGAAAAAAAATCTACAAGATAAACATTCATCTATAACAAAGTTTATCAACAGTTTTTATTAGTCTTACAGCAAGTGTATGTATGTACACATGGACAGTTTCCATATTAACATACGATTCTCTGCTTTCACAAGAGCTTGACAAATTACAATGTGTTATTTTATTCATAATCATTCCTATAGGCTTTTTCTTGGATGCGTAACACCATTCTACGAGCATAAAAATCCCTATATTCCTCAGGTAGTTCTTCAAGTGTTTTCAAGGCCCTGTCCAAGATCTGTATAGCTCTAGAGGCTGCTGTGGGATCTTTATTTCCGTAAGTGTCACTCACTCAGCAGTAAGGTGCTTCCAAAAGACATTCAGTGCCACTCCAAATTCCTCAGAAATTACATTGTGGAACCACAAAGCTGTAAAGAAGAATGTCTAAAATGAAAATTACTATCTGAAACTTCCATGCGACTCATAACAAACATTCATCCCTGAATATATCCTATTCTACCAAATTTAAGAAGTTCTTCAAGATGTTTATGTTGATCCACAACTTCACACAAAAATAACAATTGCTGAAGTATAAAGAGATATTCAAATGTGAGCAAATAGTAAGCATGTGTAGGATGAAAATAAGACATGTCCCCTGTTCGCCTCACTCATCTCTACTGTGAATGCAGATATATATTTTCACAGATTTAGTCCCTAACCTTGCACAGATTGTCCAAGCATTAATGTGAACCACGAGCGTCAGCCAGGTCGGCCATGCAAGTTGCTGATCTTTTCGTAGTAAAGTCATGAGGCTTTTCAGTATAATCATCATGGCTGTGGTAAGGAAGCAAATGCACTTCTGCCTCATTAAATACATTTTAAAAATAAGTTTAATATGGTATATTTACCCTATTTCAATTTTAAGGTAAAAGACTGAATACCGTGCTTATTGCAGCTTAGTTGCTTGTTTGTGCTGAAGACACAGAAAAGCTTCCTCTGAGAAATGAACAAGTTTCTTTCAGGTTATGAAGAGGGGCTGCTTCTACCTTCTCCCTAATAACCACAAACATTTCTCAAAGAACATCTCCTTTTTCAGTGATGTGCATTCCAGAACGTTGACAAAGCTAGCACTGTTCTCTGGACTCAAAAATCCCTGTACTCCCCAGTCATTCTGAAGAGTGCTGAGCATGTCTTCAGTTTGGACCAGCACACCTACTGGCAAAGACAAACTAGCATCTGTACTGCACAGAACAAAACAGAAATTGCGTACCTTCCACTAACTGTAACCAAAAGTTTCTTTAGAAAGAAACCTAAATGGTAAATTCAAAATTAAGTAACGACTCCAAGGCTAAGAATCTGGTTTAAATCTTCCTAAAACCCTACAGCCTTCTTGTTTACTGGCCTGTTTATACTGTCCAGCTAATATGACAAGCAACAGAGTAAGTATCTGCCACAAGCTCATGACAAGTTAAAATAAAAAATTAATAACAAGTAGGAATAGTTCAATAGGAGTAATTCAGATGCCTTTCGCTTATCACTAGAATTGTCATCTTAGCCCAGGAAACAGCTTTGTATTTCCTGCTCATGCAGAAAATGATTAGGAGTTGTCTTCTCATTCCCCAAAGGTGATTTCAAATTTCTAGAAGGTCCAGTAACTCTACCATTATCAAATCACATGCCTCACAGTTCTTAAGTGACAGAGCTACAGAAAAACAGAAATGGTGCTTCACTCAAATTCTGTCATGAGAAAACTCAGGTCACTGAAGTAATTTCAGATTTTCCAAGCTGATATTATAATGCTAATCTATTAAGACACAAATTCAGAAGCATACAGTGTAATCTTGAGGGAAGGTAGGACTTGCAGGTAGATATAATAATACCTTTTATTGGGCAAATTAGTACAGTTGGAAGAAGTAGACGAGTTTTGCCAGTGCCCTTAGATGCTTCTACTTATAACACAGAAATATTTTAGTAACCTCTTACCATCCCTAGAAATGAGAAATTGCAAACAAAACTGTTTAAAAACACAGCACATGGTCAGGAACTGTTTGTTACTTACCTGGAATAAATAACACATCTCCTGCTTCCAGCAAACACTGATAGCGCTTGGCTTTCACAAAAAGGGGATATTTCTCTAAGTCTGGGTTGTCCACATCCAGCACCTCTGATTTAGTACCTAGGAAAGTTTTCAGAAGTAATGAATAAATGTTCGTACTCTTCCACACAGTAACAAAGCTTTATCACATTGCTGGAAACGGCAGTTCTTGAATCAGCTTTAATACTGCTTTACTGCTCTGTAACTCTTCTAAAAACCAAGCAAACTGGATGGTGCTCCTTATTTACTGAAGAGACATGTTCTTCTGTTGTCTGTGTTTCTCCTGTAACTGCAGCCTTATTAACACTGAAAGACGCTTTCCCTGACATTTAAAATGCCGCACTGAATCCAGACAGAGCACTGTGCTCCTCCACAGTTGGGTGCTGAAAACAGAACCCATCGAAGCTGCTGTGCTCCTTTGCAAATTTCATATCCTGCCCCGCTAAAACAATCAGTTTTGACTAAAGCAAACAGCATCAGAATTATGGGACCAAATGACTTTTTATATCAAGCCGTCTGTTAGTGATTTTTTTCTACTGTGCAACACCTGTGAGCTGGAAAGGCAACTACGATCACCAAACACTGAACTAGATAAATGTGACATGCATACCTGATAAATATAAATATGGTGCATCTCGAGGACTGTACAAAACAACTCTTTTTTTCCCTGTTACTTGGATTAAGAAGTTATCCATCACCTGGAATAAGCATAGTAAGAGAGATGTCAGCCAAGAGTTAAGAATCAGTGCATAGCCTGCAACTAATCTAATCTAAAATATCATCAGCTTAAAAGAGGGAATTATTTAAACTTTCATATGTTAAGAATTAGCTAAAAGAGCTTCCATATACAGTTAATCCAAAAAACTCCAGAATGTTAGTTACTCTATCCCCTTCGCTGCATATTCTTGACACATAGTGTATGTAGAAACATAATGTGTTGCTTTCCAACAACTTTGTGTTTTTCCTTAAACAGGAAGCAAGTTCTGCCTTCTTAAAGACATACCGTGCTTTAGACATATAAACCACCAAAATGTAATACAAAATATATATGGAATTCCTTTTCTTTTTCAGTGTTACTTCTACCTCATTTTGCTGACTTTCTATTGATAAAGGATTCTTTTTCCTAATTATAATGCAAAAAACTATTTTTCTTATAAATACATTTATTCAGAATTACACTGCAAAATGTTAGAAGACAATCTTATTTGGAATCTACCGCATTGCAGCAACAGACCACCCAAATAATTGTACAATTACCAGAAATCTGTCCATTAGAATAAAAAAATGAAGGTAATCTTGAAGAGGAAAATATTGAAAGTTATTGTCTTAAATATTTTTAACTGAAACTCAAAACAGTAAAAAAAAAAAGGAAAAAAAATCAAACATCATTTAATCTTACAAGTATGGAATTAGACACAAAACCAGTAAGATATTATGCCCACACAATACATCTATTTAGAATTTACTGTACCACCGCATGTGACTTGTTCTACTATTTCAAAATACGTGAAGTTTGTCATTAACAGATTTTTATCAGAGATCATCTCAACTCTGTAATGCCATCTGCAACATTTTATGCTAAACACATGTGTTACTTACATCATAATGTGTCCATAACTGTAATCCAGCTGAGCTGATGCGGAAGACACTAGAGAAAAACTGTTCCTTCTCAAAATACTCTGGAATCTGAACATCTTCTGCCAAAATAGGAAACTGCTTTCTAATATCTGCAATATCCTGAAACAAAAAAGGGCATAATTCTCAGAGCGCCATGCATGCACACTAAAATAAAGGAGCACTTCACTATCATTTCCCATCATATGAAACACGGGGCTCGAACTTCACCACTGGCGAACAGTTGAAAATAGCAATGCTTTTTGATGGTCTCCTTTTCAGCACTGACTTCATCAACGATAATAAGAACAGCAGAGATCTGCTTTGAACCATGGCTGCTAGAAATCACAATGAAGGAACAGGAGATCATCAGAAATCCATCCGAAACCCATCAGAATGTAAGTGCCTAAAATAGTTGCTGTTATACATTTAAATGTTCTGGCCTAAATCTGGTCAGATTCACAGGCCACGTGACCCTCAACAAGTTGTGTGCCTGTACTACACAGCCAGCAGATGACAACAGGCTTTAAAAAATATTCCTAAACTGCTACTTTACAATATTAGAACTGTAATCTCAAGCAACTCACCTTCCTAGCATCTTCACCCACTGACCGCAAATAGTACTTTTCATCCTAAAGAGAACACAAAATCAGAGTTGTTTTGGTGGGGTTTTTTTAATACGAATTACAAGCATGCTTGAACAAATAGCCTGAATTTTCTCTTCAATCTAATGCAGGGCTCGATTAAAACACGGTACAAATAAGCGGCATTTACAAACTCAGCTACTCTGTTATACTGCCTTTATCTACTGCTCCCTGCTGTTCACCTCAAGAAACAGCAAAAATATGTTCGTTAACCGAGTGTAGAAGGGCGAAGTAGCGGGAGACTTGTCAACTGCTTCAGCATTGCTGTTACTGAACAGATTCAAAGCAAATGCAGATTACAAATCAAGTTCTTCAGAACACTGATGCAGGAAGCTATTTCAATTAGCTTCAAAACTTAGGGCATTCCATGTAGCATAAAAGGTGAAGAGCACGTCTGCATTCAAAACTGTTTGCTTCCCAGTCGCAGTTATCTGATAAATCACTAGTTTGAACACTGCTACATAAAGATAGCCACACATTTGCTACTCACAAATTATGTTACAATAAATCTGTATTTGTATTTTGATCGCAGATGTAATAAAAATCTAAAATATCTTCATGACGTTTTCTTGCAAAACACAAAAATTATAGCTACTATTCTAAAGTAAGACTTGAATTCTCAATTTTTTTGCTGGAATTTTTTCTCATGTAAGCAGTTTTTGTTAATAGGAACAGGACCACTGAAGTTAACCACACTGTACACATAGAAAGCAATTTCTGAGAAAAATTACCTTCTCCTCATATTTGGCTCCAAGCCACACAAAACTTTTAAATCTAAGATCAAGTGCTTTATTGGAGTAAGACTTTAAATTACAAGGCATCGTTTTCCCCTCCATATACTGGCAAAATCACCGATACAAGTAACTGTGTCGCTAAGTAAATTACCTCAGAAAGAAAGTACTCCTTGTGTTTGACTTCAGCTGCTCTTCGTACAAATACATCAAAAGGCAGAGTTCTGAAATACAAATATTTAAATTTACACAATGGCTCAACGTAACGACACATGGTCTAAATGCTAGGGTTAAAGTCATAAGCTCTCTTACCAAATCTAGTATAATTGAAGATGCAATATGCTGCATGTTGGTTTTTTTTTTAAACATGGTGACTACTCAGTGTTTGCAGTGGATGTTTGAAGAGTTGTATTGAGATAGAAATCCTACTCTTACAAACCTCTCTGCTTTCGTAAATTGTCCCAGTGCAGATCCAAACCGAGTCATGTAATTGCTGCAGCTGGAAGGCACCTCGGAGATCTTCCAAGTCCAGCCCCCTTGCCAAGAGCAGGGTCAACTACATCAGGTTGCCCAGGACAGCACCCAGTTGGGTTTTGCCTATCTGAAAAGATGGAGACTCCGTAACCTTTCTGGGCAACCTGTTCCACTGTTTGACCACCCTCACTGTAAAAGAAGATTGGGGGTTTTTAAATAGTTTAACAGAATTTCCAGTATTTCAGCTCATGCCCATTGCCTCTTGTCCTGTCACCATGAACCACTGAGAGGAATGCAGCTCCATCTTCTTTACTCCCTCCATCAGCTATTTATGCACTTCGATAAGATCCCCTCCTGAGCTCAAAAGGTCTGAAAGGTCTGAGACACAGCGCAAGAAATTTCTTCACAGTCAGATTAGACTCAAACTGTGGCCAGTGCCTGACAATAATTGCTTATACTATTTGTCTAACACTGTGTCATTTTTAGGCTTGTTTACTGTACATTTTTATAAATTTGCAGAAAAGCTCAGCATCAAGAAAACTACTGCAGATCAAATACATATGCTTATATCTATGCATTTTCTGCTATGAATTTGTGCATGAACACAGATACCGATCTTCATTTATAGATCTATGAAATTTATTTCAGTTATCCGATTTTTTTTTTTAGCTGAGCAAAATAGGAATCTTGGTATTTTCTTTACAGTTTTGCTTGAATTTATTAAACACAACTTCAGAAGATTCAGAAAGAATCACTAGGCATTAGAGCCTGTCCCTCTGAAGTCAGTAGAAGTGTTACATGTTTGCTTAAATAATGGGAGCTTTTCATAAGGATTACAGATTTTGGCATCAGTTGACAGCTGAATGGCAAACCAAGCACAAGTAGTAATAGGACAGGTACTCATTGTTATGAATATTATGTTGAGAATTCAATGTGATGTTCATTCAGCTCAGCATCTCACACTGAGTGTCACTGGACAAAGAATATATTGCATGTAAACATCAAATTTCAGAGCAGCCACCAAGTACACAGGGATAAGAAGAAACTATCCTCAAGCAAAATGTTTCGTGATCCTGTTACCCCCCTAACAGAACGTGACTTGCATCTGACAGTACTTAGACCACTTCTCCACACATTTTAGGCTTGTTTGTAATAGTCAAACACAACAACCGCTGAAGTCAGGGGAAAAACAAACAAAACCCAACCCTCTGACCTCAGCTGAACTGCTACATCATGCCCATTTACATTTGCTGCTGAAGAAAGTGAGAGCACAGCTCCACGAAAGATTAAACTGAGGCATGCCGGTGCTGCCACAGCTCTGCCCTTGCTGTCTACCCTCATCATCCCATCTCCTCCCTTACGCTACCACTGGCACTCATCTGACCTCACGGTGAACCTGCTAGCGAAGCTAAAACAGCAGAAAAACATTCAGATTTCTGCAGCGCATCACAACGTGGCTGAATGAGTTCCAGAACCAACACAAAGGCAGGGTAGGAGCATGCAGCTTACAGCAGAGCTGCAGTACTACTCACATCTATCAGCTTAAAATCACGGAACTGCATCTTAAGTCCTCAGTGTTTCTATTCTTTTAGTTCTGCTTATTCTCCTTTCATATTAGAACAAGGGGCTTGCTGTGGAAAGGGTCAAAGCTTCCTGAATTTCAGGTGAAGCAGGTGAAAGTTCTAACACCGGCTACAATGAAGCACCTCAGAGCACCTCCATATGGTGGCCCACAAACCGGCTAAAACTGGTATGCCGCATCAGCTGCGTGTGAGCTCACAGTAAGAGGTATCATAAAAAGAAACAAAACATAGCAGGGGAAATGATATACGGCGATAAGGCCAAGTCATTCAAGCATGACCTAATTTCAAAGATCCCAAAGTTCATTACGCAGTGAGCAGAATATAGCATGATTATAAGGTGTGTTTTCCCCTGAACAACGGCTCCACTCACAGAAACGTGCAGCTCGTTTGCACTTATAGCATGTGCTTCTGCCATCTTAGAAGTTTAACAGACTGAACACATCTTGTTCCCACTTAGGGAAGACAAAGGACAACTAAACCAAAGGCATTCACCCTTGAAGAACAACACAACAACTGAGATTAGATGAACTCTGAAGAAACGTTTCGGCTACACGAGATGAACTTCAGAGGAGATCGAGAGCTTATGTGACCCGCATCAAGATTAAAGAGCTGGTGAAATGCGGGGTATCCAATAGTGTGAATACTTATTCTGAGACCTGCACATGCTAACTTTGAAAGGAGCTTGGTTCTAATTAGTAACATCCCCCTGGAGTGGAACAGCATGCCTGCCAGATACCAGCATTCAAAGAGGCTCAGATACGCGGTATGTCAGGGTCTAGCACTCTCAGCAACATTGAAAACGCACCATATAATTAGAACAAAACAGCGTATGGTCTAGTATCAGGTTTGGGGTTGGTTTGTTTGTTTGTTTTATTAACACCAGCAAACGCCAGGATCAAATTTCCTACAAGAGCGCTCTGTCAAAGTATCTTTATAACAGTTCTTCATGCCATTGCTTGTACAGCCCGGTTTGGCCCCTCCTTTCACTCTGCAGTATTTATTCAGGTTGTTGAGATATCTGTGGCACGAAGTGAAGACAGGGAAATCAAGGACAGCACTTTGATACGTAATTTAAAGTTTTCACAAAGTATCTTCGCATTCTCACCCTCAGCTTCAAACAGATGCACCCTATGTCTGACAGCTACAAGCGCGTGCCTTCAAATACAAGAGACCTTGAAATGAAGTACCTATACACAAAGTTCTTACTGAGGAAATCCATCTGTGGCACCGCCGACACGTGAATCTTGACTTCTTTGGATCCTTCGGCTTGGCTCAGGTAACCGACCGTCCACTTGGTTGTGCAAGCGCCCAGCTCCATTCCCTCCAGCACTACCGGCTTCCTCTAGGGAACAAAAACGAAACCACAACGGTGAAATGACCACAGCACCCAGTGCAAAAAAACAGAACTCGTTTGTCCATCTGTGGCACCGCCGACACGTGAATCTTGACTTCTTTGGATCCTTCGGCTTGGCTCAGGTAACCGACCGTCCACTTGGTTGTGCAAGCGCCCAGCTCCATTCCCTCCAGCACTACCGGCTTCCTCTAGGGAACAAAAACGAAACCACAACGGTGAAATGACCACAGCACCCAGTGCAAAAAAACAGAACTCGTTTGTCACACTGAGCGCGGGCAGAGCAGTCAGGCGAACACCCGGACCCACCACACGCAGCCACCACCG